CGCTCCGTCAGGGAAGAGCTGGGCCCTAAAGCCCGCGCTTCCCGCCTCCCGCCTCCCGCCAGTCCCAGGTCCCTCCCTGGCGCCCGAAGCGCCCTCGGCGGCTTCTTTTCCTCAGCCGCCCGAAGGAGGACCTGGTAAGCGCGGCGCTGAGCCCGACTGGGCTCCAGGGTGGGGACGGGGAAGCGGGGCGTGCGCGGAGGGCAGGTGAGCCTGGGCGGGGGACCACGACTCGAGGGCCCGGGCCGGAGGAGAGCAGAAGACGGGGAGGGTCCGAGGGGGTCCTGGGGGCGGGGGACGCCTGGGCTGGACCCGGGAAAGAGGAGCGCGAAGCTGCCCCTCGGGGGTCCTGGGGCGTTCCCCACCTGCAAAACCTGGGCGCTCGGTGGCCTGGAGTGTGTGCGGCTGTCCTGCTCCGACACCCCCCAGCCCCCCGCAGTCCCCTAGGACCCCGGGGACGTTCGCTGGAGGTCCCAGCGCATCCCCGGGGCTGGCTGAGGAGACTGCCCCACGTGGACTCGGCAGGAGCTCCGCGAACCCATCTGTCCCCACCACCCGAACCCGTCTGTCCCCACCACCGTCGTCAGGGTTTCCCCCCAGGTGCCTCCGGCCAGGAGAGGTGGCCTTCGAAAACCCAGCACTTGGGATCCTTTAAACCTGGTTCTCAGATGACTTCCCTGAGGTCCCCAGCCTGCTCCTGGGAGTCCCCCCGTCCCTAACAGGCCTCCTGAGGATTCTGAGGCATCTCTGATCTGCAGCGCTGGAGCTCAGAGGAGAGTGAACCAAGAGTAGGGACAGGCCAGGTCCCCTGGGATGAGTCCCAGGAAGCCCTCCAGCCATAGGTGCTTGAAACATAAAGTACCAAGCCCCGGATGTACTGTGCTTTTTCTTACTTGCCCATGATGAAGTTTAGTTTATGAACTAGACACGGTAAGAGGTTAATAATTACTCATAAAATAGCCCAATTATAACAGAATAGGCATTTAAAGTTGCCATTGTCGCTGCACTTGTGGTTTGGGGCCATTAGTCAGTAAGATAATGGTTACTGGAACACAAGCTCTGCCACACCCTGACAGATGCTGAGATGGCTACTGAGTGAGTAACGGACAGGTAGCCTATACACTGTGGACACGCTGCACAAAGAAAAGGTTCCCATTCTAGAAGCGGGCAGAACTGGGAGACAGTTCACGACGGTTGCCATGCACAATGGAACGGATTGCCAAGCTCAGGAACTGTTTGTTTTGAAATTTTCCATTTAGAAATTTCAGACTGTAGTTGGTCACAGGTAAAGGAAACCTCAAAAAGTGAAACTAGGGTGGAAGGGGGACTGTTGTCCTCTGTTTGGGGGTTGCAGAACCTGGGCCTGCCTGGTGTAGTCCACGATGTCCCTTGCCTCCTGGACCTGGGTGGATGCTAGTCTGTGAGGTGCTAGGACCCATCATCCCCAAAAGGGATGTGTGGAATGGGCACCCAGAGGCCCATGTTTGAGGCCAGCCTCACTGGGTAAATCAGACACTTCCGGATATCAATGGCCTTTTGGATCCCTGGGTCTGACATCCTTGGGGGTTAGTGGAACTGGGCTCGGACCCCTGACCATAAAGCGCCCTCTTCCCATCCTTTAGAGCCCCAGTGTGTTAAATTATTATTATCCTCTTTTTTTGCTCACGGTAACTGAGCAGGCATGTCACCCCTAATCTGCACTCCTGACCTCTGTGCTAATGCTCAGTGACACCCCAGTACTCCCAAGGAGGCCCAGGGGCCTCTGACCACCATCCGCAGTGATATGAGGTCCCTGCTGTTTGGCCACAGTGTCCCCCCCTCTGTACAGGTCCCAGGTGACTTCCCTTGCTCCCCAGTGTTCACCCTGGCTCAGATCTTTCTATGGGCACAGGTAGGACCGTGAGACCTGCATGGTCACTGCCAGGTGGCCTTTGGCAGCCATAGACTCGCCACCCCCATAGCAAGTGTGCCTTCCCTTCTGGCGACCTCAGCTTTGGAGCCCCCTGGTGGTGAGGCGAGGTTTTAATTGCTGCCCTCTGGGGGGCGCTCCTGGGCCGTCCTTCCCTAGTTTCTCCATTGCTTTCTGGATCCCTTGTGGGTTGACAGGAATTCCTCCTCCTCCCTATTTTCACTGTTATCCTTTGTCTATTTTATTGTGATTTTTCATTTCTTGGGGATTGGGCCCAGGCTTCCCACGGGCTCAGCATCTCTCTCTCTCTCCTCTCTCTCTCTCTCTGCTACACGCCATTTATTTACACAGCTAATAAACCTTTCATGTCCTGCCGATGCCCTATTTAAGCCTCCTGTTTGTTATTTTGCTTCCATTTTCCCCAGACACGTGAGCATTGCTTGCTTACCCGTAGACCAAAGTGCCTTAAATCTGAGTAGGACCGTCAATTAACATGTGATCCCTGTTGCGTTCTCAGTGTGCACCCGGTCATCACAGTGTTCCACTGACCTGGTTTCCCTTAGGCTAAAAATGGCCAGAAAAACCCCAATTTGATGGGTAGGAATGTGTGCCTGTGAGTTCAACTAACGTCAAGTCAGAAGTATTTTTTAGTTGCATCTGCCGAACACATACCGACATTTTTCTTTATTATCTAAACACTACAATATAATAAACTATGGAACATTGGCAAATTTTTTGTGGGGGGTACCCGATACTTGAACTCGGGTGCTTGACCACAGAGCCCTGTCCGCAGCCCTATTTTCTATTTTATTGACAGACAGGGTCTCGCTGAGTTGCTTAGCGCCTTGCCATGGCTGAGGCTGGCCTCCAACTTGGGATCCTCCTGCCTCAGCCTCCCAAACCACTGGGATGACAGGCGGGTGCACATGCCCAGTTCAGGATTTTGATAGCCACCAGGGGGCGTGGAACCAGTGCCTACAGGTTCCAAAAACCACCCTATCCACTATTGCTAACGGATCCTTGGCATCGTTTTCCATGATTTTCTTAATTTCGCTGCTATCTTGTTTCTTTTTAGTGTCTCAGGAGTCTCACCACATTTAAGAGCAAAGAGAGGAAGGCAGGGCCCGGTCTCAGAGCAGCGGAGGTTGCAGGATCTAGTTGTTCGCCAGTTGGTTCTGGGTTGGGGACTGGGACGTGGTCGCACTTGGTGTCTGGGCCCACAGCCTTGGGTTTGTTCGGAGAGACCTAGTTCCTTTGATCACCTTGGAGCCTGGAGTCGTTCCCAGGGGTGAGGAGCGCGTTGCTGGTGGCATCCGCCTCCTAGTCCTGACCTAGTTTCTTAGTATTTTTGGAGTGTCCCGGACACTTTTCACCAGGAGAGAACCCAGGGGTGCCCGTGTGGTGGCAGGTCACCCAGAAAACACACCAAGACCCAGTGTCATCCAAACTGAAGGGTGCTGATCCCGACCGCTTCCTTGGGACCAGGTGTCCCACGAGAACATCGCTGCTCACGTGATGTGGAGTCTGGTGTACGGTGGACTTTGTCTGGTCACTGTCCCTATAGCCTGGCTCATGGCAGTTAACCCCTGAGCCCCCGTCCCCAGCCCTTTTTACATTTTATTTAGAGACAGGGTCTCGCTGAGTTGCTCAGGGCTGCACTCAGTGGCTGAGGCTGGCCTCCAACTTGCGATCCTCCTGCCTCAGCCTCCTGAGCTGCTGGGATGACAGGCGTGTGCCTAGGGCTCCAGGCCCCAGCCTGATTTTTCTGGTTGCTTTTTAGGTGGGCATTTTGGGGGGGACCGCCCCCTTCACATCTGCCGACTTCCACGGGTGTCTGATCTCACGCGCATCTGAAGTCCACTGCTGTAGGTGGGGGTGCGGGGCCACGTGGAGGCTGTAGGTGTGACACAGGGCCCCGGGTGGGACCTGCCCACACCTCTCCTTGTGTCTCCAGGTTGGAGCTGCGGGCCGGCCGCACAGATGGAAGCCTCGGAGCCCCGGCCGCGGAGGCTGGGAGGCTGTGGCAGGCTGGAGGAGCTGAAGGTGTCGCCCGCCCTCAGCACTGGGAGCCTCCCCGCCGCCTCCGGAGATGGGCACCTCGGGGTCCCTGACGGCCAGCGGGTGCCCTCCAGGCCCCAGGAGGCCGCGCCCACCAGGGAGACGGCCCTGACCATCTGCCTGCAGGTGACGCTGCCCTTTGTCCTCGCGGGCCTGGGGCTGTCCTGGGCTGGCGTGCTGCTGAACTATTTCCAGGTAAGAAAGAGGGCGCGGGCGGGGCCTTGGCCTAGGGTCCTGCCTGCAGGATGGGGGCCGCCTCCACCCCAGCCAGATTCCTTTAGGTCTAGGGAGAGGGACTCAGTGTGACCCGAGTGGCACTTCAGAGGACAGTCAGGGAGCGGCACAGGTCGGTCGTCCCAGTGATGCAGGAGGCTGAGGCCACACAGCGAGCAACATGGTGGTGCTGAGTCTCAGAATTGCTTTCTTTTTGGTCCCCGGGATGGAACCCAGGGGCACTTACCCACTGAGCCCCGTCCCCAGCCCTCTGCATGTCTTATTCAGAGACAGGGTCTCCCCGAGTTGCTTGGGGCCTCACTAAGCTGCTGAGGCTGGCCTCCACCTTGCAATCCTCCTGCCTCGGCCTCCTGAGCTGCTGGGATGACAGGTGTGGGCCATGGTGCCTATGTGCATTTATTTCACAGAATTTTTTTTAAGAAAATAAATAAAAGCTGGGCACAGTGACTCACGCCTGTCATTCCAGTGGCTCGGGAGGTTGAGGCAGGAGGATCGTGAGTTCGAAGCCAGCCTCAGTAAAAAGTGAGGCCTTAAGCAAGTCAGCGAGACCCCGTCTCGAACTAAGAGATAAACAGGGCTGGGGACGGGGCCCAGGGTCAAGTGTTCAAGAGTTCAATCTCTGGAGCCACAAAAATAAACGAAGATCAACTCAGTGAAACAGGGCACCGTTTAAACATGGCGGTGACCACACGTGATTTCGCCTCTTGGTCGAGGCCTGGTTCTTGTGCAGATGGGTCCGAAACCCGCGGCCCGTGTCCCTCTGGTTCTGTGTGACAGGCCACCTGGGCTGCAGGAGCCGCCACAGAGCGGGCAGTGAGGGCGAGGTGTGGCCCTGGGGGGGCTCCTCCTGCCGTGGCCGTCGTCCTCTGTGTCCGGATGCGGTCTCCCCCGTCCCTCTCTGGGTCTTAGTCTGAGGACACCAGTTGTGTGGGGAGAGGGGAGAAATGGTGGGGGAGCCTGGTGCTGGCTTGAACCCAGGGTGCTCCACTGAGCTATGTCCAGCTCCTCCCCTCCCCCCCTTTTTTTTTTTTTTTTTTTTGGAGACGGGGCCTCACTGAGTTGCTGAGGCCGGCCTCCAACTTGTGATCCTCCTGCCTCGGCCTCCCAAGTCCGAGGGGTGACAGGTGTGCCTCCCTGGCACCATCGTAGCAGCGATTTCTTGGTACCAGACCCCTGATCTGGGGCAGCCAGGGAAGTGGCATCAGGAGCAGGAGGAGTGGTGACTGGCTAGCCGCCCAGGCCCAGCAGGCCCAGTGCCCGGCCCTGATAAGGGGGGGCGTGACCAGGAACCTTATCCCCGGGAGCAGAGCTGGGAGGGGACCAGCCGTTCATGTCCCTCATTTCTCCAGGCAGCACAGGACCACCTCAGGCCTCTGCACAGTGGACACTGACGTCCTCACACCAACACTCACAGGGGACAGGGGACACGCTTCCCCAACCCACCAAGCAGGCCCTGGCCAGGGAGGAGAGGGCCATAGCCAGCCTGAGGGGTCCCTGCCAGCCTGAGTGCGCAGTAGGCGTCTCCCCGGAGCCCAGGACTCCCACAGTCATTGGCCTGTGGCGCTGGTGACAACCGGAGGTCCACGTGTCCCCTGTGGCCTAGGTAGGGGCTCGGAGCACCCCCTAATGGAGGCAGACGCGTAGGTGGCCTGCAGCTCTGTGGGCCACTCTCCTCCTGGGCCACCGTGGGACGTTGCGGCTTGGCTCAGTCGGTGCTGCCTGGGCTCTGGAGGCTGGAGTGACCGGCGAGGCTGGGTGGCCGTGGGGGGGCCGTGGAGACCTTGGTTTCTGTTGCCTGATGGTGAGGCGCAAGAGGCGGGCAACTGTGCCCTGGCCTGGGAGCTTAGAAAGTAGTGCCCACTGGCCAGTGGCTCCGCTGGGATGGCCGCCTGGAGTTTGGTCCCTTGTGCACCCCTTGGGTGGGTGGTGTTCTTTAACGGGGACTCTTGGGGACCCGCCAATAAGAGACAGGAACTAACAACTCTGTAAGTCCCGTCACTCTCACGCAGCACATCTACAAAATAGTAAGTCATCATCCCAGTGGCTCCGGAGGCTGAGGCAGGAGGATCGCAATTTGGAGGCCAGCCTCGGCCACTTAGTGAGGCTCTAAGCAGCTCAGGGAGAGCCTGTCTCTAAATCAAATAGAAAAAGTGCTGGGACGTGGCTCAGGGGTCAGCGTCCCTGGGGTCAGCCCCTGGTGCCAACAGCAACAGCAGCAGGTTGTCCTTTGGGCAGGGAGAACTGCGTCAGGGGGACAGCGCAGCCTGCCAGGGGACCTTGGCTTCACCAGGAACCCGCTGGTCAGCAAAGAGCATTGAGTCCAAGCTGACGGGTGTTCTGGGTCACGGTTGGGTCACCTTTTCATGGTGACAATTGTTCTGGTCACCTCCTTCCACCCCACTGGGCAGGGTGGGAGGGCCGCCTGGGGGAGGGTGCACCAGGGGTGACGGGGACAGCAGTTACGTGTCCCCCACACGGCCTGGCGGGGGAACATTCTGTGCCATTCAGGGAGGCCACACCCGGGAGCGGAATGGGCACGGGGTGCGGAGGCCGATGGGGGAGCAGGCGGGGGACCTGGTTCCTGGGGGTGGGAGCAGCCCGTTCGAGTGACTCCGAGGGCTGCTGGGAACCGAGGGCTGGGACTTGTGTGAGAGGCAGGGAGCATGTTGTCCACAGGAACAGGACGAGGAGGACTGGAAGCCCTGTGTGTCCCCCAGTGTTGGCACAGCAGAGCATCACGGTCACGTTCAGTCGGGAACAGTGGCCCACGCCTGTCCTCCCAGCAGCTGGGGAGGCTGAGGCAGGAGGATCGTGAGTTGGAGGCCAGCCTCGGCAGCTCAGTGAGACCCTCTGTCTAAATACAAAAAGGGCTGGGATGTGGCTAGTGGACGAGGGCCCCCAAATAAGCAAGCAAGCGACCTTGTCACGTTGCAGGGACGATGACCAGAGTCGCTCACAGTCCTACCCCTGCAGCCAGAGAGCGCCACCTGACCACGTTGTTCTTGTCCTGGACTTTTCTGTGCGTGTGAGAGCGGTGGACGGGCCGTGTCCCCAGGCCCAGGGGCAGGTCTGCAGGATGCAGAGGGCGGCCCTGAGCATTGTGGGATAGGAGCTCCCAGGCTCTTCTGAGAGGCCACAGGACGGGGACAGGGACAAGGACAGGGACGGGCCTGGGGACTTGGGGGCCAGCAGGAGGCGCAGAGCGGGTCCCCAGGAAGTTCCTTCGGGGGCTCAAGGCAGGTGGGTGCGTCTCTCCTGATGGTGGAGTGCTCTGTCACCCTTTCCCAGGGAAAGAGGGGACAGCCAGGGGACGGGGGACAGCCACCTCCTGGGAGCCCTGTTATCGCGGAGAGCAAGCTCTGGTGTGGAGGACACGGCGTGGCCACGGGTCACGGCAGAGGTGCTGTGTGGCTTGCAGCTGGCCCGGGTGAGGGACGAGGTGTCCAGCTAGGGGTGGTCACCGTCGGGTTGGGGCAAGTCCCCTCTGCAACAGGAAGCTGGTGAGAAGCGTGCGGGGCCCAGCTGTCCCCAGCTGTCCCCAGTACCCGCCGTGTGCTAGTGACCGGTGGGAGGCCGCCCTGGTCAGCACGGGTCTCTGCTGTGGCCCCAGAGCCCGTCCTTCCGCCCCACGCAGCTCCTGCAGGGCCACAAGCAGGTGCCCGTCTGGCTCCCAGGGTGGCGGGCGCAGGACTAGGGGGCACGCAGGGGAGTGGCCGGCTGCCCGCGAGCCCGGGACCCCAGGCAGGAGGCTGTGTCCGGCCCCCTGCCCGGGGCTGCTGCCGGCTGAGGCCTCTGAGCAAGACCCGACCAGCCTCCGCCGCTGGTGCCCGAGGAGCATGTGGGGGACACGTCCACCCACAGGAGGCGGGCCTTCCCCGGGTGGCCCTTCTGTCCTGCTGGTCAGGTGCGCAGGGCAGGGCCTGACCCCACTAGTGGGAGGAAGCGAGGTCACCTTGACACGTCACCCGAGCTTTCCGGGGAGAGCCGGGATGCTGTGGCTGCGGGCCCCTGGACACTGCCATTGAGTGACCCCAGGGCTTGGCGTCCTTCCTGGAGACCCTCAGAGTCCTTGGCCCTGGGCTGCCCGGGAGGTGGGCTGTGGACCGAGGTCTCCGCAGGCCCTTCCCTGCCCGGGGTGGGGCCACCAGGGCATGTGGAGGGAGGTGGCGGCCCTCGCCGGGGCGGTCACCAAGGCCAGCCCTACGTGGGCTCTCTGTCCACTCCGCCAGCGTGGGCTGAGCCCCTGGACACTATCAAGGTCGCCGCCAAGGGACGGGGAGCCTCCCTGGCAGGCTGGCCGAGGGAGATTCCAGCTGACCCGAAGCCACTCTCCGAGGGCGACCTGACCGGCAGGGAGTGGACAGCCGGTGCCGGCGGTCCCCAGAACGAGGCTGGCTGTCACAGTGGCCTTTGTTCCTTGCTCCTGGGCTCTGTCCTTGGCCCAGGACCTGCCGGGAGCCTTCGGAGGCTCGGGCCGCTGACCCTCCCGGCGGCCTCTGCGCCTGGACTTGTGGGGACGAGTGTCGTGCTGTGGAGCAAGAGGAGGCGACGGAGGCGCCCGGGCATGTGGCCAGCGCCTGGCCATGGTGGTCACGCAGCTGAACCTGGAGTTCCGCTTCCAGGGCCAGAAGCTGCGAGGCTTCAGCTGTGAGCTCACGCGGTCCCCCCACGGGGTGCCCCTCGAGACCCCCCTCTCCACGGCGTGCCAGGTCACCGTGCCCATCCTGCTGTCGGGCCTGGGCATGATGGCCGCGGGCCTGCTGATGAACGCCGTCCAGGTGGGTGCGGGGCCCGGGGATGGCGTGCGCTCGGACCTGGGCGTCGGGGGGTCCCCTGTGCACCCCGCATCTGTGCGCCAAAGCGCCACTCGGACGTCCCTCCCCAGGCTTGGCCGGCGCAGCTCGGCTCCCGTCCTGGCCAAGGTGTGGACACGGGCAGGGCCTGCCTCCCACCTCCCTGCCTCGGTCTCCCCATCTGTAAAGTGGGCTGATGGCAGCACTTGCTGAGAGCCAGGAGCCTGGGAGCCTGTGTCCTTGTCCTGTAGAGCCGGGTCACTGGCCCAGCCGGCCCTCAACAGAGCTGAACCTTGAGATCTGTGTGTCCTGAGTGATTCGGGTGACGTCATTTGGAGCAGTGAGGGGTGTCTGCTGCCTGCTGTGACGTCCTCGTGGCACGACTGCTGCGCTAGGGAACCTAGAGAGGGGCGGGCGCAGGCCTGTGGTCCAGCTGCTCGGGAGTGTGGGCGTGGAGTGCTGTGGAGGCTGCTCCCTGGTCCTTTAGGGTCTCACATGCAGAGGTGAGGTGGCCTGGGGACTTGCCTGCCCCTCGCCCGCCCAGAGACGGGGACACGGGGCAGCCACCACCAAGGAGAGGCCGTCACACTTAGCAATGGGACGCTGCCGGAGTGTCGGGGTGGGTGGCCCATCAAGTCCCATGGGACAGAAAACACCAGTGTCGGGGCCAGAGCCCTGGGCCCACCCCAGTGCCACGCACGTGCAGATGAAGATGATAAACAGCAGCATCAGGAGTGCGCTCCCACACGCCTGCACACGCACACGCACACGCACACGCACATGCACACGCACAGTCTGGGTGTACAGGAAAGCGCTGACCCGAGATCTCATGGACTCTCCATCCTGTCTGATTCCTAGCTTTTCTTTTTTCGGTGCCAGGGATGGAGCCCAGGGGCCCTTAACCCCTGTGCCCGTCCCCAGCCCTTGTTACGTTTTATTTAGAGACAGGACCTCGCTGAGCTGCTCAGGGCCTCAGTGGCCGAGGCTGGCCTCCAGTTTGCAGTCCTCCTGCCTCAGCCTCCCGAGCTATTGGGATGACAGGTGTGCGCCCTGTGCCCAGCTGCCTCTGACTTTTGATGCCATGATCCACGAGCAGTGTCCCCCCGTGTGTTTGGGGACCACGTGAGGACCCTTAGGTTGGGCACCTGCTCGGGTGTGGATTTGGCAGTGATGGTTCTAAGTGGCTGGGGGACAGTCACATCAGTGTGACTACAGTCTGTCCTAGGAGCAGTATCGAAGATGTCCTGTAGGGTGAGGCTGGGGACAGCGAGGAAGACCAGGGTAGTCGTGGCCAAGGCTCAGCCACCCCCACCCCATATGGCAGAAGCAGCAATGTGACCCGGCCCCAGGTGACAGGGACAGAGGCCTAGGTGTTGCTGAGGGGTGGTCACAGAAGTCTGGCTGTCGGGTTTGGGACGAGCACTGGTCGAGACAGGACAGATGGCCACAGGTGGGCCTCTGCAGGGAGGCAGGGGTGTGGAGGACGGAGCCTGCAGGACACCCAGCCAGCACTCCATGGGGTGCACAGGGGTGACGCAGGGTCTGGTCACCTCCCCTGTGCAGGCCCGCGGTGCCTGTCACTGGACTTGTCCCTGCTGCCCGTGACAGTCTTGCGGGAGAGGACAGGGTGAGCCAGCTGCCCCAGGACGCATGTGAGGGACTCTGTGTCCTGTGTCACGGGAGCCCGGGGCTGATGCTGCTGGGAAGACAGGGAGGCAGGGACCGTGCTGATAAGGGCTTCGGCCTTTGCCCGGTGACACTGTTTTCCTCTGTGACCTGGACCCGGATGCTGGAGTGCCCGCTGAGTGGGGGTCAGGGCGAAGCCGAGCAGAGGAGCAGCAAACGGAGGTCTGAGGGCGTGGAGGGGCGCACCCCTGTCGTTCCGCCCCTTGGGAGGCTGAGGCAGGAGGATCACAAGTCGGAGGCCAGCCTCGGAACTCAGTGAGGCCCTGTCTCACTTGGCTCCTGGGTCCAGTCCTGGTGAGGGTAGGAAGGAGCTCCCCGCAGCGTTGCGACTCCATTTCCCCCTGTTGTGTTGTGCCGTGGCTGTACACGGTGCTTTGTGGGACTGTGGCACTTGGTGACACCTGGTGCATGCACATGACCTGATTGGGCCACTCCCAGGACCAGCCCTCGGTTGTAAGAAAGACACACACACACACACCAGGGATTGAACCCAGGGGGGCTTGACCACTGACCACACCCCAGACCTTTTTATATTTTAAGACAGATTCTCACGAAGTTGCGGAGGCCGGCCTCCAACTTGCGATCCTCCTGCCTCAGCCTCCCCAGCCACTGGGATGACAGGCGTGGGCCCCTGCGCCCGGCTTGTGTGAATCTGTCAGTGTTTGCTGAGGTGGCGTCTCCGTCACGCAGATGCTTGGAAACATTCAGGGTCTGCAGACCTGTGATCCCAGATCCCTGGGAGGCTGAGACGGAGGATCACAAGTTGGAGGCCGGCCTCAGCAAAGGGCTGGGCGTGTGGCTCAGCGGTGGAGCACCCCTGGGTGCAACCCCCCAAAAGTCGAAGGCCCAGCTCGGAGCTGGACAGTGACAGACGCAGACTCGCTGCCCAGGAGCAGAGAGCACCAGGCCCCTCACCCGCGGGAGGGGGTCGCTGCCCCACAGCAGCTGGCCGCGCAGATGTGACGGGGACCCTGTCACTTTGAATTCTGCACTGATTTCCTACCAGGCGAGACGCGTCCTGGGCCTGTCCCCTGCCCTGTCCCCTGCCCTGCCCGCTACAGGCCGGAGAGGGGGGCCCAGGCCCATTGGTGCTGTCACTGAGACAGCAGTGTCCCCAGCCCCACTGACCTGGGGCTCAGTTCAAAGCCACCGAAGGCGTCGCTTGCCTGGTGGCTTCTGTGGGGACCAGGAAGTCCCCGCCACAGGCTCTCGGGGACGTCTGGGGAGACACGGGGCGGGCGCTTGACCCCCTGCCCGCCCTCTTGCAGCACTGGCCCGTGTTCCTGGAGGTGAAGGACCTGCTGACGCTGGTGCCACCCCTCGTGGGGCTGAAGGGGAACCTAGAAATGACGCTGGCCTCGCGGCTCTCCACTGCCGTAAGTTGACGGGGGACCAGGAGCCTGGCTTGGGGACAGCGCTCCCACCACCGGTTTCCCCAGGTGGCTTGAAGGAGGTCCCGTGTGACTGTCCTGGTCCGGGCTGAGGAGAAAGACCCAGGGGCACTTAGCCCCCGAGTTGATTTTGAGACAGGGCCTCGCTGAGTGGCTGAGGCTGGCCTCCTGCTCACAGTCCTCCTGCCTCAGCCTCCTGAGCTGCTGGGATGGCGGCGCGCACCCCTCCCCGCCTGCCTGTGTGATTCCCAGCCAAGCCCGGGGTCTGAGGCTGGCTCTGTTCAGGACCTGCTGATGGCAGGTCACCGTAAGTCGAAGGACCAGTGTAACATCCAGGTGGGGACAGATGGCACCTCAGTTACGCCACATGTGACTTCCGATCCGTTTGCTAGGGCTGCCAGAATCACAGCCGGCTGCCTCCAGCCGCGGGACACACCGTCCCCTGGGTCTGGAGGCGGCAAGTGTGAGACCCTGGGCCCCTCTCCTGGCTTCTGGCCGTTGGGGACACCCCTTGGCCCCCAAGGCTGTCACCCGATCTCTGCCTGGTCACGTGGTGAGCCGTCTGGACTCGCCCTGATCAAGGGCGTCTGCAGAGACCCTGTTCCCACATAAGGCCACCGCCCAGGAGTTGGGTCACGGCTGCAGCACCGTGTTAGGGACCCAGTGGCAGCCCTCAGTGTTTTCTGGAATAAATTCAAGAGGTGAAAGTGTGTGTGAGACTCCATCAGGTGCGGCTGGCTCAAGGCGCCTCCTGAAAACACAGGCCAACAAACAAAGGTCAGCTGCCCACCCGCAGGGGACGGCGTCCTCCATGGGCACCCCATGGCTTCTGTGCCAGCCTGTGCCAGGCCCAGAAGAGCAGAGGAGGCCAGGGGCACGTGGACGGGAGTGCAGGGCCCCACGGTCACCCTGGCCCCCACAGAGACTCTGGAACCCTACTGTGGAGTTCCCCACCAGATGGTGCCAGTGACCGTGAGCGTGGCCACCGCGGGTGACACTGGGGATGTGAGGTCTGAGCACTGAGGTGGCGGGCACTGTCGCCTGGCCCTACACGTTGGTGGCTGGTGGGACTCTGCATGCGGCCACCCTGCTGGGGGTTCCGAGAAAGGGGTCCCCAGGAGACGTGCCGAGCCGGGCGCAGGGTGGAGTGCAGGAGTCCCTATGTGACCATGGGAAGGTGACGACCCCTTCACGCCCCTGCGTCTCATCCAGTGACGTGTCATCCCCCCCTGGGTCAGCGTCCACGTATCAGAGAGGACACTAGGCCTTTGCTTGGGGGGCTGGCTTGTTTGGGTGAGCATGACAGTCCCCGGCTCTGTCCATTTACCCACAAACGCCATCATTTCCCTCTTCTTTGTGGCTGAGTAATATTCCACTGTGTACAAGCACCGCGTTTCCTTGTCATTCATCGCTGAAGGGCCCCTGAGTTGAGCTGCCGTAGGAGTGACGTGCCGTGTCACCACAGAACACAGGTTTGAAGTCCCATGGGCAGTGTACATCTCTGGTGTCCCTTTCGGTCCCTGTCATGTCTCCTGGGTGGATCTGTGCATCTCTTTTCTCAGATCCCTGCCGTTTATGGCCATTAGTCCTTCAGACAGGCCCTTTCCTGTCTCTGCCCTCTGCCGTCCCCGTCCCACCCCGTCCTCGCCAGCTGCAGCCCGGGCTTCGCCCTCCCCTGCTTCTTCCTGCTGGTTCCATGGAGACCCCGAGTGGAACCATTTGCTCTGCACTGAGGACGGGCACGGTGGCCTGTCACCCCAGCAGATCTGGAGGCTGAGGCAGGAGGATTAAAGTTGGAGGCCAGCCTCAGCCACTTAGCGAGACTCTGTAAATACATCAGAAAATATAGGGCTGGGGCTTGGGGTCAGGTGGCCCTGGGGCCAATCCCTGGTACCAAAAATCAAGGAGCAAAGGATCCTGGGATGTGTCCCTCGGATGGTCGGGGAGCTGCCCATGGGGGGCCCCTGACCCGAGGGCAGCAGGTCCCAGCTGGAGGTCTCACCCGAGCTCTGGCTGTGAGCTCGAGGACAGGAGGTGGCCACGCGGTCATCAGGGACACGAGTGCCCACCCCACGTCACGCGGTTCTCAAGGAGCCGTCCCTGCTGGGTCAGAGTCCTTGGACTGGTCTCCGGGCGGTGGCCCCTGTGGAGACGCGGCCGCCCACCTGCGCCCTGCTGTGTCCCTCGCAGGCCAACACCGGGCAGATCGACAGCCCCCAGGAGAGACACCGCGTCATCAGCAGCAACCTCGCCCTGGTCCAGGTGAGCGTCCCCTGGACACACGGCCTCTGCCCTCTCGGAACCTGCGGCGGGATCGTTCCAGTCGGGAAGGGGGACGGCCACGGTGCCCTTGTCCCCACGCTCTGGGCTGAGCCCTGAGAGCCGCTGGCCACGTCCAGCTGTTGGTGGGGCAGCTGGAGGCTCTGCACACGAGGGCGGGGGACACTGCTCCTGGGACCTGGAGGCCTCCCTGCCTCCCTGCCTCCCGGCCTCCTCCCTTCCATGCTGGCTTCTCCGAGAGTCACCCACACTTGGTGGCCTCTCGCCTCCCCGTCCACACCAACAGGTCCCCCTCGTTGGCACATGATTGGCCTGTTACCTGGGAGGCCCCCTGTGGCCCTGCCACCAGACCCTGAAGTCCAGCCCGTGTCAGCACAGACAATGTGGCACTGTCACCTGTCACCCAGAGCCCCCTGTGTCGCCCTGTGGGACTCCACCCTGCCCAGCGGCCTGGTGGGAGGTGACCTCACTCCTGTCCCCACAGTTGCAGGCCACCGTCGTGGGGCTCCTGGCTGCCGTGGCCGCCCTGCTGCTGGGCGCTGTGACGAGGCAGGAGGTGGCCGTGGCCCGGGTGGCCCTGCTGTGCGCCAGCAGCGTCATCACCGCCTTCCTGGCGGCCTTCGCCCTCGGTGAGCCACGGACGGGCGGGTGGTGCTGACCACGGTGTGGGCGGGCGGGCGGGCAGAGCCGAGGGTCCTCGTGGCCCACCTGTCACCCCCCATCTCTGTCCCCACCCCATCCCTGTCACCCCCCCGATTTCTGTCTCCCCTAATCTGTGTCTTCTCCCCAATCTCTGTCCCCCCTCATCTCTGTCCCCTCCACTTGGGTGACGCCCGAGCTCAGCTCTCAAACCCCAGCTGGTCACCGCCCACACGAGGTCACACGGGGACATGGGGGGGGGCTCCGCCTGGCCAGGGAGGCCCGTCCTGTCTGCTCGTCCCTGTGCCAAGACGGGCCTTGTCAGGAGCCCATCTGAGCGTCCCCGTCCCCACCTCGGCGTCCCCTCCCTGGGCAGTGGCTCCTCCCAGACGGCTCCCCCAGCCCTCAGCTGGAGTGAGTGGGGACAGCCGCCTGCGGGGACAGGGACACTGCTCCCAGTCGAGGGCTGCAGGCTGTGGCCCTGGTGCCCCGAGGCCCTGCCCTCCACTGGGCCTGGGGACGCTCGCTGGAGGCCCCAGCACTGCCCTGCCCACTGTCCCCTCCCGCGGTGGCTGTCCTGTCACAGCCGGTGTCCTCCAGGGCCCTGGGGGAGTCCGCGGCCCAGGGTCTCACCGTCCTGTGACTCTGGTCTCTTGGGCCTTGGGGACAGTCCTGCTGCTGCTGTCCCAGGGCCCAGCAGAGGGGAAGACGGGGACACTGGGCCTGAGCTGTCCCGGGGACGGGGGACCACAGTCGACATCGATGTGTCACTGGCTTGTGGAGCCAGCGCTGGGGACACACAGAGGACAAAGTGTGACAGAGTGGCCTATGGCTGGGGTGGGGGCCTCGCCACGCCCGGAGCCGCCTGTGCCCCCCACACGGGGCCTTGGACTCGGTCCCTGGCCTGCAGGGCCCTGCTGACCCGGGAGTGTCCACGGGTGGTGCGGAGCCAGCGGGGACCAGCCTGGAGCTGGCCGGGCTCACTCCCTGCCCCAGCCCCGCCCGGCCCTTTCCATATTCTATTTAGAGACAGGGCTCCCCTGAGTGTGAGGGCCTCGCTGCTGCTGAGGCTGGCCTCCACCTTGGGATCCTCCTGCCTCAGCCTCCTGAGTAGCTGGGATGACAGGCGGGGGCCACCGCGCCTGGCTGTGGTAGGGATTCGTAAAGAGCTGTCCCGAGCTGGTAGTGTCCCTCTACTTGACCCCCCAGGGACTCTCCCTGGCCCACCAGCTCAGCCGTGCACTGGATTCACCCTGAACTGGGTGGCATGTCACGGGAACACCAGGCCAGGCACGGTGGCGCACCCCGTGACCTCGGCTCCGCAGGCAGGAGGGTCCCGGGTTCAAGGCCACCCTGGGGAGACTGGGGAGACTGGCCTCTAAAGAAAAAGGTGAGGCTCCCCCAGGTTCCTTCCTCGGTCACAGGATGTGGCTCCGACCAGCTGGCGGTGACAGTCTCAGGTGGCACTGAGGAGTGATCACTTTCCGTTTTCTGGAAAGGCCCTCTCTCCTGTGCTGGGACTGAACAGCCTGCGTCACTCCTGGCCACAGGGTGGCCACAGTGTCGGGACACTGCCAAGCAAGCGCCTGCCAGGCTCTGTCACAGGTGGGGAGAGGGGACAGGAGACCACGTGTGACAGTCACAGTGCACATGCCTCTCGGGTCCCCACGGACACCGAGAAGCCACAGGTTGCGTCCTGGTGCCCAGGGACGGCCTGCCGGGCTCCCGAGTCGGGCCTCCACCCCACGGGCCTCTGTCGCTGGCCCGCCCTGCCCCGAGGACGCTGTGCCCTCCTGCCCATCCCCTGCCTCTTCCCCCAGGTTCTGTCCCTGGTCAGCCTGTCCCCCGAGAAACCTGCAGGCCACGTCCCCAGCCAGGCCCTGCCCTCCCTTTGGGATGTCCCTTCCACGCACGGGACTGTGAGGTCACCTCCAGGTGGACGGGGCCTGGGGGCCGCCTGCGCTGATGAGGGACAGTGGGAAAGCTTTGGGCAGCTCCTCGCCCCCCCCCAGGCCACACTGGGCTCTCCTCCCACCCTCTCAGGTCTCTGGGTGATGGGGAGGTCCCCAGCAGGTCCCCTCTGACCTCCCTGGACCTGCCCCCCCCCAGGCGTGCTCATGGCCTGCATAGTGATCGGCGCGCGGAGGCTGGGCGTCAACCCCGACAACATCGCCACACCCATCGCGGCCAGCCTGGGGGACCTCATCACGCTGTCCATCCTGGCCGTGGTCAGCAGCTTCTTCTATAAACACACAGGTGGGAAGACATTCAGGGACAGGCGCCAGGCAGGGGAGGCTGAGGCAGGAGGATCACAGGTGGAGGCCAGCCTCAGAAACATGGAGGCCCCCATCTCTAACTGGAATATAAAGGGCTGGGGACGTGGCCAGGGGTCCAGTGCTCCTGGGTTTAATCCCTGGCACCAAAAAAATGGAGGAGGAGGCCAGGCCCAGATAGGTCACCACCAAGGCTGGGTGAGCACTCACTCGGGCCCAGGTGTGGCAATCAGAGGGGATCCTGTCCCCTTAGGAAGGAGCTGGGGACTGCAGTCATGCAGCAGGTCCTAGGACCCCCGGGGCTGTGCGTCCCCTGGCTAACGCAGGGAGCAGGTGGCATCTCCTGATCTCGTCACCTCCTGTCCTTGGGGCCACCCCCAGGCTGCTTGGGAACGGGGCAGGGTCGTCCCTTAAGTGCTACCACCTGGTCGGCATGGGACATGGCACTGGAGGTGACCACCTGGGTGGGGGCCCAGGGTGCAGTGTCTGGGAAGTCACCCACCTGGTGGGACAGGGGTGAGAGGTCCCCTCAGCTCGCAGTGTCCCTGGTCCCCAGCCAGGCCAGGCCTGGGCCAGCGGGTCCCCAGCAGCCGGTCCCTTCCTCCTGCAGACAGCTGGCTGCTGGCCCCGCTGGTCTGCCTGGGCTTCGTGGCCCTGGCCCCGCTGTGGGTCGTCCTGGCCAAGCGCAACCCGCCCATCGCCAGGGTGCTGAGGCTCGGCTGGCCGCCCATCATCCTGGCCATGGTCATCAGCAGGTGAGGGCGGGGCCAAGAGCTCTGGGGCCCCAGGGGGAGGTGCCTGGGGGTCGGGGCCAGCGGGTCCCTGGGCAGCTCCCATCCTGGGTGACACCTCCTTCTCCCCAGTCTCGGCCACCGTGAGCCAGGGAGCTGCCCTGCCCGCCCCCTGCCCCAGCTGGGGACGTGGACAGAGGCCAGTCCCACGCTCCAGAGCCCCTGTGGGACCCCGGCTGGCCCGTCCCCTCTCCTGGCAGGGGACCGTGGGGCCGCCCCGTCCCTGCCGATATGTTCGGGCCTGGGTCTCGGGCTGTGGTGCAGGCGCGCCTGCTTCTAGAAGGTTCTGAGGCCCCTTTCCTGGCCACTCTGCCCTCCCAGGCCCCAGGTCTGGCTGCAGCCTGTGGGGATCCCGGGGGCACCAGGGTCCTGGTGGCCGTGTCCTCCCTGAGAGCTGCTCCACGTGGCCAGGAGCTACCCATGACCCTGCCACTGTCCCTCGGGGGAAGGGTGTCTGCATGTTGTCCTCTGCCTGGCCCCCGGGACAGTGAGGGGGCACAGGACGGGGGACACCAGGGGCCACGGCAGGCTGGGACGGGGATGGCCCCGAGAGCGGTGCGGAGGAGCCCGAGTGTCCACCGCGGTCACCGGGCGCCATCTGCTCTCCGCCCAGCTTCGGGGGCCTCATCCTGAGCAGGACGCTGTCGGAGCAGCGGTACGGTGGCATGGCCGTGCTCACCCCCGTCATCTGCGGTAGGTGCCACACTCGGTCCCCAGCCCCCTCCCTCCCCATCCCCTGGCCAGGCCTTTCTCAGATGAACTGAGAGCCAAGGGGAGGAAGCCCTGCCCGGTCCCTGTCCCCGAGGTGCCACAGGCCTGCAGTCGTGGCCGCTCAGCGCAGGGCCCAGCGGCTCCCCGTGTCCCGCAGGCGTCGGTGGCAACCTGGTGGCCATCCAGAGCAGCCGGATCTCCACCTACCTGCACGTCCGCAGCACGCCCGGGGTGCTGCCCCTGCCCATGAAGGGCTTGTGGCCCCGGCCCTGGGCCACCTTCTGCAGCCCAGGTGGGTCCAGCCCGCAGGCCCCTGGGGACACTTTGTCTTTAAACAAAGTGACATGAGAGTCTGCAGCGGTGGACGCCTGAGGCGGAGGGGACCCTCCCCCAGGTCCTCCTCCCGTGTCTACCACGCCTACCGTCTGTCCACCTGGGCAGGTGACCGTGAGGTCAGGGGCAGGTGGCTTCTTGCCCTCTGGGAGTCCAGAGGAACAGACAGGACAGACGAGCCCTGGGTCATGGACTGTGGGACGATCCAGAAGGCCAGGCCCAGGGCGTGGGGAGGGCCAGGAGGGGCAGGTGCTGGGACAGGGATCGGCGAAGCAGAGGCCCAGAGGCAGGAAGGAGCTCCGGTGGCCTGAGGCACTGGAGGCCCATAGGAGGCCCGGGGAGGAGGAAGCAGAGGCCACCCCCCTTTTTTTTTAGTTGTCTAGGGACACAGTGTCTCTATTTTTATGTGGCGCTGAGGGTCCAGCCCACTGCCTCCCACACGCCAGGCGGGTGCCCTCCCACGGAGCCCGGTCCCCAGCCCCTTTTCTATTTTATTTAGAGGCAGGGCCTCACCAGGTGGCTGAGGCTGTCGCTGTGGCTGAGGCTGGCCTCCAACCTGTGATCCTCCTGCCTCGGCCTCCTGAGTGGCTGGGAGGCCCTGGCACCACGCCGCCCAGTCACGTTAGCTGTTTTTATCACACGCTCCTTGTCGGCCTCCTTGGAGGTTCCCGTGTCAAGCAGCGAGGCTGAGTCACAGTGTCCCTGATGTCCCCAAGCTCTTTCCCACCTCACTGCCCGCACCTGTTCTCTTGCCTGTGCCCGGAATCTTCTCCCCCAAATGTAGCTCTCAGCTAAGATCTCAGGGTCACTCGTCCCTCCTCTCGCACCCACGATGCCCCGCTGTGTCACCAGGCTGACTGTGGCGGTCGCAGTTTGAAATGCCCCTTGGTGCTCTGCAGCTGTGACTTGGCTCCCTTCCTGGACACCAGCCCCGTGGGGTCAGGCGGGCCCCGTGGGGTCAGCTGGGAAGGCTGTGGCCCTGGCTGCCGCGCGGTCACAGGGGCCCGGTCCTGTGTCCCTGCAGAGATCAACTCCACGTCGGCCCGCGTGCTGCTCCTGCTGGTGGTGCCCGGCCACCTGCTGTTCTTCTTCGTCATCCGCCTGGTGGAGGGGCCGGCGGTGGCCAGCAGCAGGACCTTCTTGCTGCTGTACCTGCTGGCCGGCCTGCTCCAGGTGAGGACACTGACCAGCTCGCTGGCTCAGGCCGCCGGCTTTGTCCCCTGCCCTCGGGAGCCGCTGTGCAGTGGCAGTGTCCATGGCTCAGAGGACAGGGCAGCCTGGCCCGCCCGCCCGGGGTGCTGCAAAAGACATGCGCGGCTCCTGGTCAGGGCTGGTGGCCTGGAGGACGGTGGCGTGTGGATTTGCCCTGGAAGGTTCTGGAAGGGCTAAGTGGCCGGTGCTGCAGGGCAGAGTGTGCACGTAGACCCCAGTGGGGGGCCCAGTGGGGTCTCAGGAACCGAGCTGAGGCAGCAGGGGGGTGGCAGCAGGTCTGTGTGGCACTGCTGGAGGCCAGAGCAGGAAAGGGCCCCCAGGAGGGACAGAGGAGGGTGGCCTCCTCTAGCCAGAGCAGCCGCCGGGCTGCGGAGCGGCCTGTCCCGTGTTGCCGGAAACTTCTAAAAAGGGGCATTTGAGCCGGGCACCCACTGCCGTCCCAGCGGCCCGGGAGGCTGAGGCAGGAGGATCTCGGGGAGTGGGAGGCCAGCCTCAGCAAAGGGCGAGCCCTGTC